CTTGGTTAAAGAGACTCATCCCCAGCTCTCTGCAACCTCCTTTCAGGGAGCTGTAGAGGGCGATGAGGTCTCCATTCAGCCTCCTCTTCTCCAGACTAAACACCGCCAGTTCCCTCAGCCGCTCCCCGTACGACCTGTGCTCCAGACCCTGCACCGGCTTCGTTGCCCTTCTCTGGACACGCTCGAGTCATTCAATGTCCTTTTTGTAGTGAGGGGCCAAAAACTGAACACAGGAATTGAGGGGCGGCCTCACCAGTGCCGAGCACAGGGGTAAGATCCCTTCCCTGTCCCTGCTGGCCACGCTATTGCTGACACAAGCCAGGATGCCATTGGCCTTCTTGGCCCCCTGGGCACACTGCTGGCTCCTGTTCAGCCGGCTGTCAATCAACACCCCCAGGTCCCTCTCTGACTGGCAGCTCTCCAGCCACTCCTCCCCAAGCCTGTAGCGCTGCTGGGGGTTGTTGTGGCCCAAGGGCAGCCCCCGGCACTTGGCCTTATGGAAACTCCTCCAGTTGGGCTCAGCCCATGGCTCCAGCCTGTCCAGGTCTCTCTGCAGAGCCTCCCTACCCTCGAGCAGATCAACACTCCCACCCAACCTGGTGTCATCTGCAAACTGACTGAGGGTGCACTCGATCCCCTCGTCTAGATCATCAGTAAAGATGTTAAACAGGAGTGGCCCAACACGGAGCCCTGGGGGACACCACTTGTGACCAGCTGCCAACTGGATTTAACTCCGTTCACCACAACTCTTTGGGCCCGGCCATCCAGACAGTTCTTTACCCAGCAAAGCGTGTGCCCATCCAAGCCACCAGCAGCCAGTTTCACCAGGAGAATGCTGTGGGAAATGGTGTCAAAGGCCTTACTAAAGTCAAGGAAAACAGCATCCACAGCCTTTCCCTCATCCAATAAGCAGGTCTCCCTGTTGTAGAAGGAGATCAGGTTTGTCAGGCAGGACCTGCCTTTCATAAACCCATGCTGACTGGGCCTGAGCATCTGGTTGTCCCACTGTGTTGTATGATTGTACTCAGGATGAGCTGCTCCATCAGCTTCCTGGGCACCAAAGTCAAGCTGACAGGCCTGTCATTTCCCGGATCATCCTTCTGAGATTTCTTACATATGGGCATCACATTGGCCAATTTCCAATCTGTCTGGACCTCCCCAGTCAGCCAGGACTGCTGGTAAATGCTGGAAAGTGGCCCGGCGAGCACCCCAGCCAGCTTCTTCAGCACCCTCAGGTGTATCCCATCCGGTCCCATAGACTTGTGTGTGTCTGTGTGATGCAGCAGGTCACTGACTGTCTCCTCCTGGATTGAGGGGGGGTCGTTCTCCCAGTCTCTGTCTTCCGGCTGAGGAGGCTGGATTCCCTCAGTACAACTGGTCTTGTTATTAAAGACTGAGGTAAAGAAGGCATTAAGCACCTCAGCCTCTTCCTCATCACTTGTTACCATGTTTCCTCCTGCATCTAGCAGGGGATGGAGGCTCTCCCTGGTCTTTCTTTTGCTCTTGACACACTTATTGAAACCTTTCATCTTGACTGCTGAAGCCAGATTAATTTCTAGCTGGGCTTTAGACCTCCTGATTTCCACCCTGCATAGCCTCACAGCCTCTTTTTAATCATTGTGAGTGGCTAGCCCTTTCTTCCAAAGGTCATGAACTCTCCTTTTCTCCCTGAGTTCCAGCCAAAGCTCCCAGTTTAGCCAGGGTGGCCTTCTCTGCTGCCGGCTTCTCTTACAGCACGTGGGGACAGCCTGCTCCTGTGCCATCATGCCTTCCTTCTCAAAGAGCGTTTTGCCTTCCTGGACCCCTGTACCCTTCAGGACCATCTCCCAAGGGATTCTGTCAAGCAGGGCCTAAACAAGTCAAAGTCAGCCCTTGGGAAGTCCAGGATGACAGTTCTGCTGCCCCCTCTCCAAGAATATAGAACTCTATTATTTAATGACTGCTGTGCCCTAGTTGGCCTCCAACCACCACATCATCCACCAGTCCTTCTCTGTTTACAAAGAGGAGATCCAGCAAGGCACATTCTCTGGTTGGTTTACTCACCAGCTGCGTCAGGAAGTTATCTCCCACACATTCCAGGAATCTCTGGGACTGTTCCCGCTCTGTGTTGTATTTCCAGCAGATGTCTGGGAAGTTAATGTCTCCCACAAGAGCAAGGACAAGCGATTGTGAGATTTATCCTAAATGCCTATAGAATATTTCATCCCCCTCTCTGTCCTGGTTGGGTGGCCTATAGTAGACCCCCACCACAACATCTGCCCTGTTGGCCTTCCCCCTGATTCTAACACAAAGACACTCCACCCTGTCTTCACTACGTTTGTACTCAAAGCAATCTTAACAGTCCCTAACATACAGTGCCACCCCACCACCTCTCCTTCCTTGTCTGTCCCTCCTAAAGAGTTTGTAGCCATCAACTGGCACACTCCAGTCATGGCAGACATCCCAACATGTTTCTGTAATAGCCACAACATCATAATTTTCCTGCTGCATCAAGGCTTCAACTCCTCCTGTTTGTTACCCATGCTGTGTGCATTGGTGTTGATGCACTTCAGATGGGCTGATGTCCCCAGCACCTTTTTGCATTTAGAAGTCCTAAGGCTGGCCTGACCTTTCACAGGTGTTACCATAGTGACTGATACATCAGTATCCCTTGTATCTTTGTTGTGCTGCATGTCTCCATCCCTTGTCTCCACTGGGATGGCAGGGTGAGGGTTGTCACTGGCACAACAGCCCACAAACTCTGGTAATCTACCCTGGGGCTTATGGCTAGGAGTTCCAGTTTTGTCCCCTTCCCCCTTCAAATCTAGTTGAAAGCTCTCTCAGTGAGTCCAGCTAATTCCTGCCCCAAGATCCTTTTCCCTCTCTGGGAGATGCATCCCGCCTGATGCCAAAAGGTCAGGTGCTGTGTATACCAACACATGATTGAAGTTCTGCTGATAAAACCAGTGTCAGAGCCACAACTTCATTTGTTGAATTCTCCTGAAATCTTCTTCATCTATTCCTGCAACTGAAGGGATGGAGGAGAATAGTACTTGTGACCCCAACCCCTTAATCAGTTTCCCCAATGTCCTGAAATCTCTCTTCATTGATTTAGGATTTTTCCTGATAATGTCGTTGCTACCTACCTGAAAAATCAAGAGAGGGTAAAATGAACAATGCCCAGCTATTCTCTGAGCAACAACCACCTTGGAAGACATTGCTCTCCCCCTTTCTTCCTCTAACCCCAGTATTTACTGCTGTGCATGATGCTGTATGCTACAGCATATCCCTTTGGCCCATTCAGGCCAGCAGTCCCCTCTGTATTCTCCACTCCTAATTTCTTGCCCATCCTCAGCCTACTCACTGTGAGGAGGTGGAGGCAAAATGGGAAATAAAAGAGAAGGTTCAGCTGTAGTCAAACCACTGGTGTGCTACCAGCACTATTGGAGCCACAAATCTATTGCACAATACAGGCCCCAATCAGACCCAGTTCTCCAATGTATAGGGTAAAAAAGAACAAGGAAAACCTTTAAGCATATGTGGGCAGAGGACAAGCTCCTAAAATGTAAAGTTTTAAGTGTACACACTGGGCTTTGCACTCTCTCAGGATTTGCTTCCTGAGCCAGCTGCAGTACTGCCATTGTAGTAGCATGACTGGAGCCCCTAGCTCCTACAGGTGAGTGAGAGACCGGGCAGGTTGGGGTTGATTTGCATTTCATCTCTGGGAGGGTTTTTTCCCCCAAAAAATACTCCCAGTGAAATGTCTACACTCATCACTCGAAACCATGTATGTTACCAGAGGCAGATTAACACTTTATGGCCACAGTACCAAATGAGGCAGGACATGACAGAGATTGAACCTCAAAAGCACAAATATTCTCTGGCTTAAGATTGCTCCATATGTGCAAAATCATAGAGGGGTCAGTAAAATAGATTGGAAAGGACATTAAAGTTGGAGTATTCCTGTGTGATACAAATGTCTTCCATCTGCTAATTGCTCAGTCATGTTCTGGAAGCTTAAACTGTCACAGAAATTAAGAGAACAAAGAGTAAACTGATTTAGAAAATATATTTTATTCATAAAATGACTAAACATTGGTGCATAGACAAAATATCCTGGAGATAGGTAACTTAATCCCTGAATATAAAACTCAGAATATTTTTGTTCTTCCTTCAATACTGAAAACTAAAAAAATAAGATTATACCCAGACTGGGTGCTGGGAGGCCTCAGCTACTTGTCTTTGGATGTGTAAACCCCACAGAAGTTGTTCAACACTTTGCAGGGTCACTTCCTACATTATGATCATTTCATGAGTAAAGGGCGTGTTAAATTTCCTTGAAATTCAGGAATTTTCAAAGAACTCCTCTAACAAGAATATTCTCTTCAGAATCCATTCTCCCAGTGGTGATGGACTTTGAAAAAGCCAGCTGACATAAACAGGCTCTCTCCTTTTGTCTTTGGTTGTTTTGGTTTGTTTTTTATTTTATTTTTTTTCAGTTTGGATACCTTTTTGTATACCTTTTGAGGACACAAGAATTGTCACACTAGGTCAGATGAACCATTCCAGTACCTGACTGATTTGTCAGAGCAGCTGTTTAACCAAAACTGCAGATAAGTAAGGCAGATATGGGATGAGACCCTGGAGGGATGAGGGGTCCAAGAGAGATGGTTGATATTAAAGGATTGCCCCTTCTAGCTCAAGAGCAGTCCATCCCAATGAGCAGGAATTGAGGCAAAAATGCCACGAGGCATCTTTGCTGCTCCCTAGCCTATGCACTTACACAATCCTGTTCTCCTGGACAACGAAAAGGAAAAATTGATGTTAACTAACTGAGCAATCCACTCTGAAACCGAAAATGGTAACAGTTTCGATGTTCCACGGAAATGCGCTATTGCTCCAGGGAAAGGCAGCTGAGCATCCACAACAGTTAACGACCCTTTAGGGTAGCTGCATTGACTTGCTACAAGCATCTTCCTCCTCCAGCAGCTTCTGCAAGGTCAGCCTTCACACACCTGCTCTTTTTTTGGAGTTGAAGGAATAATTATTCCAAATAACCATAAAACCTTGATTCTCCAAAACATTATCAATTTTAAAAAATTCTACATGTCTTGTAGGAATACAGAAACTGTCTTCCTTCTCTCTCAAGAAGGAAGGTAAACCTTAACATGGAAACAATATATATGATAAACATGTAAATTTGACAAAAAACAGATTTTGTATTTTAAAGTTGGACCTCTTACTTTACCAGAATAAAGCAAGTAAAGAACCTATGTTATCATCCATGACATTAAATATTTTAAAACCAATCTTTGCTACCAGTTATGAATTTTCCTAAGGTCATACAGGTCACTATCAACCGCTGTCTGATAAAGATAGTACTAAGATACACAGATAATTTCCTTTTGGCAATGAAGAGATGGTAACAGTCATCCCAGCTGGATGTAACAGGAGTGGCAGGTAAGTCACTCTTAGAAAGACATCTAAGAATGTATGGGATGCAAAAGTTAACTCTGTCTTTGGTTTTGAAACACATCCAGATGTGAAGAATCACATACCACACCCTCATTTTGTTTTGTATTGCCAGTTGATTTTTTTCTGAAAGTTATCTGCTGAAAATTATTTTGAGAATAGTTTTCAACATGGATTATCTGCATTCTTCACATCTTCAAAAAGGCAACCTGTAAAAGGAAGCAAAACCAATACCATGATTAGTCTCAACACTGCAGGTAAAACAAAGATGTTTCATTGTATTAACTGAAATTACAAATTATAATAATCTTTTAACTTAAAACCCCCCACATTAACATAATTAGAGAGCAGAGGCTATATTTGAGAGCAGTGTTACTTTTCCACCACTTTTCTACTTAACGTCTCCTAAAAATCCCCAAGCTTACTCTTTTTGCAAGCACTGCACCACACTTGTTGATGAACGACATATCAAAAACTTTTTTTTTTCCCGAGAATAACAAAGCACAAGGTGTTTATCCTAACTTAAAATGCTATTTGACAGTATTTTGAAACTAGCTTAGACTAAATCTTTGATACATTCCCTGGTTTGCTGGAATATTAGACTGTCTGAACAGTGCTGCTGCTGTGAAATCCTGATTCCAAAGTCAGGATGAAAAGTCCCAATGAAAAGTCCAAAGTCATAAAGAAAAAATGCCTTGCATGTTAAAATTACCATGAGCCAAAATCCTGCCCTAGGGGATAAGACAAATGCATATAATGAGAAGACAGCAAATAAGGTACCTCTTCTTTTAGTGCACTAAGTAGACTGTCATGTCTAACATCTATTTAGAGGGAAGATGATCTATCAAATACAGGACACCTATAGGATTTCTGATGTCCCAGCTCATTTGTTCTTGGTCACATGCATGTGGCAGTTTCTCCTGCATGGTTTTGGTTTTGTTTAGCCTTCCTCAAAACCTGCAGGATGCTAACTCAAAAAGTTAAGTTAGCTGACTCAAAAACAACTGCATGCTCAGATTCTCATGTGCCAAGGAGCTTATTTCAGATATCCAGTTGGAAACTTTGCTGATCACAAGGACGGAAAAAAAGATGGACAGATGCCGCCAGAGAAGGACGAAAAGAAAAAAGAAGAAAAAAGATTACCAGGTTACACAACAGTCTTCTGAAAATATAACCTTTTTCTCCTATACCATGAAAAACACACAAGAAAAAAACATGAGACATACACGTCCCCCTTTTTTCTCTCCAAGACCTTTCAAGAGTCACTTAAGTGAAGATTCAAATTACCATGAATTACCACTTCTGATTTTCAGAGCTGACCCTCAATCACCACTCTACTTGATACTGTGACTAAAGAATGCATGAAGTATGATCAACCAGAAGGAACTGAATTAAAGCATAAAATATCACTGAGTATTAAGAACAGAAGGAAAACCAGAACAAAACATTTATTTTGGATCCCATGCCCAAAGAATATTTAAGAGAGAGTTATGTCAGCTAGAGAGGATGCAAAAAGTTATGCAAGTTTTAACATATCTAAGAAGCTGAAATGCTGGGGTTTCAACCCCAAGCCCCAGATTGACATATGGGTGATTCCCACAGCCCTTCACAAAGGGGGGGGTGAGTTTGCCTTTAGGCTCCCCTCCAGGGTGGGGCCGGCCTCGAAGGGAGAGCCATTGGGTAAATGAGCCCCAGGTGTCCTGCATTAAGTAAGCAAAGGTCAGGTGTCCCACTTAGGGATAAAAGCTGGGACCACTTGCAGGAAGGGGCAGTGTCTGTTTGTGAGGTGGATGCACTTTGTAGAGTTTCCTCTTGGGGAAGGATCTCCTGCCTCCCTGGAACTGGGCTCCAGTCAGGTCTGTCTCTTGTAAATGCGGGCTGTGTAGAGATTCAGTATGTGGTTTCCTTGGTCTTATGTATTTGTCTTGTTGACCTGGTTGTCTCCCATCCCTTCTATGGGAGACTGCATTTCACCATTTATTCCCCCCATTGTTGGTTGTGCAGTGTCATTGTTGAGGTCAGTGGGATTGATGTTGATTATGTATAATCTGATTTGTTTGTACCCCCAGTGCTCACCCATGTACTGACCCTTTTGTATCAAATACAATTTGGTTATTGGTTCATCTTTATGCTGGCTGTGTCCTTTATGCTAGGCCTGATAACTGGCAAAACAAAACTGGCAATGAGGATGGACCTGTCTGAAGTTCCTGGTTGAGAAGATCCTGTGTATAGTTCACTGGCCCTTACATGGATTAAATTTGGGGGACCATGTGAACAGTGGGAGAAGCGGTTGGTGGAGGCTGAACTGCAGGCTGTATTAGGAAATATTCAAAAATTCTCCAGTAAGGCACAGGATGCTGTAACCTTTAGGAGACAGGGATGGATCCTCTTAACAGCATATAAGAAACAGAACCAGCAAAAAGATCACTTACTGGCTGAATGTTCCTGTATGCAAGCTCAGATCATGATATTAGAATCTGTAAACTATCTCCTTATTGATAAACTAGACACATCTCAAACTGTACCTGAGAAGGATACAGTACAAGTTGCCCTGTGTAAATGTGGGAAGAGACAGGGACAATGTAGTCATAAGGAGGTCCACTCAGAGGTTATACAGGTGGATGTACACTGTAACCCTGATGATATGGATGATGATATCTGGTACCCTGCAGAGTCTGATGGGGCTGGTGCCTCAGATGACTCTGCAGATGTGAGACCAGTCATCAGGAGGAAGGTCAAATTTTCTGAGGGTGAGCCACCAGTAAATAGACCTACAATGAAAGATTTCACACAGCAAGAAATCAGTGATATTCTTGCACGGTTCAGTCAGAGACCAGGAGAGCCCCTGCTTGCTTGGATGGTGTGTTTATATGATCAGGGAGCATCAGGGGTTAGCCTGGATAATTTTGACTGCAGAAAGTTTGTAACTCTGAGTTCAGACCCTCTGATGCAGGAAGCGTTTCGGATTAATGATGACGGTATTAATCTTTTGGCTTTAGCCGCTGTAGGGTGCAAGGCAAAAATACCCCCTAGAGAATTCCTGGCCATGTTCTGACCAGCTATGGTATACTCTGCGGGATGGTATACAGTAATTGAAGGAAGAAGGAATGAAACTGGCCATTCATGTAGGCCATGTTGATGTATTGATGCAACTTTGATTGTGCCTATGAGAAATGCAAACATTAGAACTGCTCCACTGGCTTATAAGAATGTTCTTGTAACTCTCTTACTGAGTGAAACAGGAAATACCATTAGAGATATACTTGGGAAAATGCATCAGCTAGGTGACCTTGGAGAATGGACTCCTCAGGAGCGTCAGGGCTATTGAGATTTCCAATGTCAACAGGGCCCCTGGGAGTATACACGGAACTGAGACACCCGATGTGGTAATAATACCAGATGTCGGCTGTCTCGAGGACTATTGTTTAAAGCTTTATTGAAAGATGGCATACCTCTTGCTAAAATTAATGGTCTTGACACCAGTGAATTATGGAGGTTGTACAAACTGAGAGGGTTACAGAAGCCCTGTAGAAAAGTGCAGAATTATCAAGCACACCGGTCAGAAACTGTTCAGACTACAGCACCCCTTCTGGATCCTCAATGGGATCCAGCCTTTGCTCATGGTGGGCCCTCTGGGAGAAGTTCAGTTGTTTCTGGGGAAGAACCACAAATGGCATCAGTATTCTGACCTGTACCCCTCAAGAGACAATAGGTACTGTAATCCACACTGAAATATTGGCCAAGCTCTGATACATTGGGTGTGGGACGACTGATGACCCCATGTGGAGCTACAAATATTCTGGAAAAAATGGTCCTCTCAAATAGTAAAGGCTCTAGTAGAAACCGGAGTGGAGGCCTCCTTGATTTATGGAAATCAAAAGAAATTTAAAAGTCAATCTGATTATTACAGGACTGAGTGCAAAACAAATTGAAGTGGTACAAACCCAAATGGATATGAAAATTGAAAATCTTCTGAAATGACAATATACGGTCATGATTGTTCTGATCCCAGAGTATATAATTGGAATAGATATTCTAAAGGTATTTACTTTGAATCTTCTTGATGGTCATTATCGATTTGGGGTAAAGAGTTATATCACTGAGCAGTTTTAGTAGGGAAGATAAAGATGCCTCTGGTTCAGATCCCAACTGCAACCAAGGTAGTAACCATGAAACAGTGCAGGATTCCAGGCAGTCATGAAGAAATTTCCCAAACAATCAAAGATTTACTGGCTGCAGGGGTTTTAAAACTGACTACCACAATGTGGAATAATCCAATCTGGCCAGTCAAAAATGCTGATGGATCCTGGAGAATGACTGTAGATTATAGAGAACTGAACAAGAGCACCCCACCTCTTGTGACAGTTGTACCTGATATGATCACTTTAATAGAGTTCAGAGGCATCCTGGCACATGGTATGCTGTCATTGACCTGGCCAATGCATATTTTACAATTCCAATTGCAGAAGAGCACTGGGATCAATTTGCATTTACATGGCAAGGATGGCAGTACACCTTTACCATGTTGCCTTGAGGATGGGTGCATAGTCTGACTATTTGCCATAGAATAGTGGCTGAGCACCTGGATGAAGTACAGATCCCTTCTCATATGCAAATGATCCACTACAGTGATGACATGCTGATTCAGGGGACCAATGAGGGTGATTTATAACAAATGCTCGAAGTGCTACTAACGCATATGAGGTAGAAAGGTTGGGAGATTAATCCTACTAAGATCCAAAGACCATCTCAGACAGTTAAATTCCTAGGAATACACTGAACTATGGTCATCGAGAAATACTACCTAAAGCTCGGCAAAAGATTCTTGACTTTGCTATACCACAGAATAAGAAGGAGGCGCAGAGATTTATTGGGTGGTTTGGTTTCTGGAGACATATTCCACATTTAGGACAAATTCTGGCCCCATTATATAAGGTCACTCATAAAAAGCATCTGGATCAGCTGCTACCTCTTGAAAGGGAACATGCATTGTTTACAGATGGGTCAGCTAAATATATAGGAGGGAAAAGGTTTTGGAAGGCAGTGGCTTATCATCCTCATTCAGGGAAATTTCTGGAGATCACAGGAGAAGGAGAAAGTAGCCAATATGCTGAGTTATATGCAGCATATATGGCTTTAAAACAAGAGGATTTAGGGGAATGTCACCTATACACTGATTCTTGGTCAGTGGCAAATAGATTGGCTACTTGGCTGCCAACATGGGTAGTCAAAGGTTGGAAAATTTATTCTAAAATGGTCTGGGGAAAGGCAATATGGAAAGATATATGGGAATTGGTTCAAAGAACCAAGGTGACAGTAGTCCATGTAGATGCTCATAGTAATATAAATTCACTTGAGCGTCTTTACAATTCTGTCACTGATAACTGGGCAAAGATTTCCCAAGACAGACTGGAGTTCCCTCAGGCAGGAGATCATGAAGGCTTGGCAAAATGAGCACACCAGAAATGTGGGCATCTTGGGGAAAAGGCCGCTTACATGTCGGCCCAAGAGCGTGGCATAGTTATGTCACTGGATATGATATAAACAATTATTGCCCAATGCCCTGTGTGCCAGCATACTCGTAAGCGCCCGGTACCAAATATCGTGAAAGGAGAATTGGGAAGAGGGGAAATTGCCAGGACAAATCTGGCAGATGGACTATATTGGCCGTTTACCCCAAGACCGAGGGTGCAAATACATCTGCACCACAGTTGACACATATTCAGGATACCTGATTGCTTATCACTGCAAAAAAGCCACACACCATAGTACTACCTCTACCATAGATATAATGATCCTATACTATGGCATCCCCTTACAAATACAAACTGATAATGGGTCCCATTTGCAAAATAAATTTGTACAGCAATATGCAGAGCAGCATAACATTCAGTGGATCTTCCATATCCCATACTATCCACAGGCTGCAGGATTAATTGAATGAATGGGCTTTTAAAGGAGCAGTTAAAAAAGCTGGGAAATGGAAACCTATCCCGATGGAGCGCATCTGGGAGGTTAGATCTCCACAACCTCAACAATAGACATGTCAGGGAGATGGAGACACCCTTGATGTGTATGACTACGCCCAATCTGCAAATAAAGCCTCTAATGGTAACTGAAACTTTAACCTACTGGGAAATGGTTCCAGGTGCAATGGCCCCCTACAGGGCCACTCCAGAGGCTGCTGGGCTAGATCTTTATGCATTAGAACTGGTAAAGATAAATTGAGGCCAGGCAAGGGTTATTAACATTGGGATAGGAATCCAAATTCCCCCAAGACACTCTGGCTTAATAACTGCTCACTTAAACCTAGCCCTAAAAGTCGTTCATGTAATGAGAGGAGTGACCATTGCAGACTACCAGGGAGAGATCAAAGTAATCCTGCTGAATAATGGCAAACAAGATTTACTTATTCAACCCAATGATAGAGTAGCACAGCTACTAATATTACCAATTTTGAAAAAAATGGTAAGGAAGGGGGACCCACCCCAAGTCACCACTGTTTGTGGAGACAAAGGATTTGGATCCACCAACTTTAGTAATGGGGCAAAAGCATGGGTCCAAGGGCTGAGTGGCCCCCCTGAGCCAGCTGAAGTAATAGCTGTAGGAAAAGATAACACCATTCTAATCATGAAGCCTAGACAGAAAAAATGGAAACATGTCCCCACAAATAAATGTTATTTGTGGGAATAATGATGGTCTAAGGTTTTGTCTTCTAGATCTTGTGTGGCACTGCTGGGAATATGAAATCACTCCTGTGACAAATGTATTCGACCTGAATGGGCAGCGTGCGGTCTGGAATGCAAGTTGACGCTGAACTGTGCTGAGCAGATGACATCAGCTTCAGAGCCACAGTCACACTGATCTTCCAATGAAAAGATCACAACAGTGAAGAATATGAAGAAACAGCTGAAATGACTGTGGGCAGTGTCTGTAGCCAAATACAAGATAAAGATGTCACACTTGGAGATTGTGTGAGGAATGTGGTCCACCCATATGTCAAGGGGCTGAGTGAAATGCTGGGGTTTCAACCCCAAGCCCCAAATTAAGGTTGACATATGGGTGATTCCCACAGCCCTTCACAAAGGGCAGGTGAGTTTGCCTTTAGGCTTCCCTCCAGGGTGGGGTCGGCCTTGCAGGGAGAGCCATTGGGTAAATGAGCCCCAGGTGTCCTGCATTAAGTAAGCAAAGGTCAGGTGTCCTACTTAGGGATAAAAGCTGGGACCACTTGCAGGAAGGGGCAGTGTCTGTCTGTGAGGTGGATGCACTTTGTAGAGTTTCCTGTTGGGGAAGGACCTCCTGCCTCCCTGGGACTGGGCTCTGGTCTAGGTCTGGCCTTTTTAAATGTGGGCTGTGTAGAGATTCAGTATGTGGCTTCCTTAGTCTTATGTATTTGGCTTGTTGACTCAGTTGTCTCCTGTCCCTTCTATGGGAGACTGCATTTCACCATTTATTCTCCCCATTGTTGGTTGTGTGGTGGTTATGTTGGGGTCAGTGGGATTGATGTCGATTATATCTGATCTGACTGACTTGTTTGTACCCCCAGTGCTCATCCATGTACTGACCCTTTTGTATCAACTACAATTTGATTATTGTTTTATCTTTATGCTGGCTGTGTCCTTTATGCTAGGCCTAATAGTTGGCAAAACAGAGACTTCTCACAAAATCATTAATACAAAGGATTCAAGTCTAAAATAACATGACCATAAGGCATGAATGGGACAGGACAATAGCAATTCTCAGTTAGGAATGGGGAAAAAAAAAAAGTAATCTCACTTCCTGAACACCTCTTTTCCCATTGCAACACTTACAGCAGTAACCTATTAGAAAGTTGCAATTTTACTACATGAAAGGGTTTGTACAGACAGGACAACTGAGATCCCCAAAAGCTTCTGCAATTCTCAGTCGTGCTTTTCTTCCAAACTGTAACTAAAATTCAGAAACAAGAATTTTCATGTAGAATATACATTTTCAAAGCTGGCCAGCAAATAGCCAGCTGGCCAGGGTGTAAATCTGCTTGATTTCCCATGAAAATCTCATCACACGGACATATTCCCACTGAGAGTTTTTATTCAGTCCAATCAGCATTTTCCAACAGTAAATTGCTACATGAAAAACTTTTCTGTCAGCTCAACCAAGGGGTGTTGTAAAAGCTACTCACCATGTAGGGAAATTTATCCAATAGGCCAAAGACCCCCACTCTCATTAAAGGAAAATCAATATGCCTGTCACCTTTCTCATAATTTAGTCACTCAGATGAATAGAGACAGACTCATAATTAATAGCAAATGTAAAATCTTACCTATGTGGAAGAGTCATAAGTAACATAAGTTAGGGATGAAATCCTGGCACCAATTGAGTCAAAGACAAAACACATTGACTTTAACAAGGTGAGAAATTTGTCCTTGCATTGCAAGGAAGAGAAAGAAAAATCAAGAAAAGCAATGGCAATCTCAAAACACAAGATTTAAAATTTTAAGCAGATTTTTGTACCCAAGATTGCAGGTTCCGTTGATACACAGTTCTGAGGTATTATTAGAGGGGATCTATTTGTTTAATTTGACTACTTGTTTTATTTTATAATGTATGAAATACACATTTTCACTCCTTTGAGAGGATTATTTGCAACATAATGTTTCCCTAGACTGCCAGGCTCCCCTACTGCCCAATAAATTGAAAAACATCAAAAAGAATAATTTATCACTGTCTGTATTTATATTTACTACCAATGTGAATAGAAAGAGCACATTAGATCATCCTCATAGTTGACATAGCCAACAAAAAAAAGGAATAACACATGGAACTAATAAGCTGTTGGAAAAACACCTGCAACACATGAAGATATTTGAGAACAACACCAACTGAAACTAAACCACTTAGGAAGTTCCACCTTACACAAAGTTCAATACAAAGCATATGAAATATTTCTTTATCGTAACTGCTACTGTAGATGCTCCTGGATCTCTAAACAGCAGTAAACTATATATTCTACATAATAAATTAATTACTATAGGTTGAGAAAGTGGGACTAAATGGTTCTTCCCCAGTTTTCCATCTATTAGGATACTTTATCTGCAAGACAGAGAACTACTGGCCTCTTCCAGGTCTAGCAGCAAGTCTTTCAGCAAAGTCTGCATATCCAGTATATCACTGTTACTAGTGCACTTTGAGAGAAAAATAACATGCAGAACAGCTATCTGATCTACAAACTAAGGTTTATCACTAAATTCAGAATAAAAGTCAGTTCTCTAACCACTTTATTCAAGGATTTTTTTTATTGACCTTACCACAGCACATTGTCCACTTCTTAAAGCAATCAGGATAACTAACATTAATCCATCATTAAGAACTGATTTTTGTACTCTAGCATCCTTACTTCTATGACAGGAGACATTGTTTCTTCATTTTCTCTCAATTATTTCAGAAGATAATAATCTTATTCTATATCAGTGTATCAAGTGCATCTCAGCACTCTACCCCATTAGTTTACACAGAGCCATAAGCTGCTAAGACCTCTGCATAATGAAAAAACATACACTCTGCATTCTCAAGCATTTTATTGATAACATGATATCAATACAGAGGGAGCAGCAGAGCACCACAGATGTACAAACGATGTATCTTACAGAATCTCTTTTCTGTAAACAATAAAGCAGCAACAATTTTGTTAAAAGCTTTTTTCTAATCCCAGAAGATGTGCTCTCTTAGCTTTCCTAAGAAAATGGGAAAATGCAAAACGTTAAACTGTTAAGCATGCTCCAGACTACACAGGAATAGTACTAAGGATTAAGAAAAGCATCCTGATAGAGAGTGTACTTATGTGATTAAACTTTGCAACAGGTTGCCCAGAAAAGTTGTGCAATCTCCATCTGTCTTTTGTGTATTCCAGACCTGACTGGAGTCAGCCAGGGGCACCTAGCTCTGGCTGACCCTGCTTGAGCTGTGAGGTTGGATGGGGTGGTCTCCAGAGGTGCCCTCCAGCCTCAGCCATTCTGCAACTCCATGAACATTTTGTACATACAGACACACAGGCAAGTGAAACAGCAGCACTATGCTGGTGGAAACTCTATAAATTATAAAAACAGAGGCTGGCAATATTCTTTCCTCAGTAGGAAGAAGGTAGTTACAGAGTTACAGGTTTCAGACTTTCTGAAACTTTCTAATAACCTTTTATTCTTATGAAGTGCTGGTTTAGATTGCACATAAGGAAGAACTGTTTTCTGATGAGGGTGGTGAGACACTGGCGCAGGTTGCCCAGAGAAGCTGTGGCTGCCCCCTCCCTGGAAGTGTTCAAGGCCGGGTTGGACGGGGCTTTGAGCAACCTGGTCTAGAGGAAGGTGTCCCTGCCCATGGCAGGGGGTTAGACCAGATGATATTTAAAGGTCACTTCCAACCCAAACCATTCTGTGGTTCTGTGGTTTCATTAAGCTGTGCCTAAAAGCATTTTCCTGACTTCCTATGATTTAAAAATCTTGCAGAAAACAGAGGGGTAGGGGCATTTCCTACTGAAATGAGCCTCCAATCACAGTCAAACACTGAGGAGTAACAGGTGAAAGAAAATGTTGTAATTTCAGAAAATATTTGTAAAGCTATGGAGACCTAATCAACTAGGGAGATAGAAGAAGGCAGAAGCTCCTGGAAAGAAATCTCTTCTACCCAAGCAGTAACACTGGGTGAGCAGGCAGAGCAGATGACTGCTGTAAGAGAAGCAGAAGCATGACTAGAGGCAACTAAATAATATATTTTAAAGAAATGCAATCTGCAAATCCAGCCCATACAATCTGTCTTGTGAAGCTGACAACAGATAGAGAAAATGCAGCATTAAGAGAAAATTATTTTCTCAGCTAAGTAAAGGAAAAGCAGTTCAATCTTTCCATCAGCTGCAAGAACCAGAGAAGAAGCCAGATCCTTTTTTTCGAAAAAACAGGAAAACAACCTGCATGCCAAAAGATGCATTTCCATGCTCTAGCACAAACTTTTAGACTGATCTTACGTTCGTATTCTCTTCAAAGAAGACCAAGTGAATTGAGTAGAAATAAAGATCTTTGGGTATGTCTCTCAAAGTTGAAGAGATAGAATTTCTAATACTGACATCTCTCACAGGAGCTAAGCAAAAGTAGGCTCAAAACTGAAGCTTATATGCATAAAAGACACTTTATTGCTTTTTTCTTTGAACATTAGACCAATTTTTAAATGCTACCACACAGTTCATAACGCTGCATTGTATTTTAGAAGAACACAACTTACACAGCAACTTAAATCTTAAATCACATCTACTGTAAACAGACAATCTGTACATAAAGATACTCATGCTTTAATCCTTCATGCATGCTGGTGTGAAATCAGGCATGATTGAATGACTGCAGAGGAAATGTTGATTATATACCAATGAGGCTACAGCCTACAATCAACGTCAAATGCTTTATTCATTTCCACTCAAGGCTAACAGGTAATCAAGCAATACCATCCATGTGCTCAGGAAGAGAATAACCTTCCCCAAAAGACATGGACAGCTCTGGGCAGACCTCTGCTTCTAGGTCCAGCTGCACTGGTGGAAGACAGTAACTTCACAGACTCAGTGGTATCCCTCTGATGCAAGTTACTGTTCCTCTTTCCCCACAAAACACCATTTCAAGCTTTCTACTTACTGTCTGGTAAAATCAGACTGGTATGATAAACTCTGGTCTGCGCTAACCGGATTAATTTATCCTAGAAATAAGAAAGGGAATGCATGCACAAACAATTCTGCTTGCAGATCACAGGGGAAAGACTAGGCTCTGGTGAAAACAAGAGTGAAAAGCTGAGATTAGTGGGGTTTTCCACATGGGTACATGGATTTGAAAGATAACATAGCCTCAAAGTCTGACCAAAGTCTAATTCACATGTAGGTTTGTATTGCCACAAAAATCTATGGTTAGTGCTGTGTTACGGTTTAAGTCTTAATAATTACAGCCAGTACAACTGCTTGGGTGGTTGTAATTATAGTGCAATGAAGATGCCTTGTACATAGAATACACCTCTACCTTGAAAAAATGAATCAGAGAAAACGATATAAACATGTTTGTGTGAATATAATTGAGCCTACATGTAACCCCCCTGCTGTACTTAATAATGCACTGGCACAACTACAGCAACAACATGCATACCACATAGAGAAGGCCATTATCCTGCCTGATACATTTCTCACTCCTGTAAAATAGAGACAGATCAAGAAGTGGGAGGATTAAAGTATCTGTACCACATCTAGGTCCCAACTATATAAATATCTGATTTCCGATAAACTGCTTGAAGTTTGGTGTTCCTACAGCTGCTGACAAGGGATGAAGAGGCAACGGAATCCTACTTTCTCCAAGGTGCAACAGTGCTCTGCCCATTCCTGCACCACCACCAAAAGCAGCAACACCTTATAGCTGTTACCATTACCCTGCGCATTAGCAACTATTGGCAATGGCTGATTATAAATAGCCACATTAAAACTGTCTGCCTGCCTACCCATACTGCACAGTTTACATATTCACTCTCACCTAACAGTCAGGGACCAAGTCTGCTGATGCACAAATAACCTGTTCCAGAAATACGTTTTGGCACCAGTGTGAATGAATGGACACAAAGCAGATGGCATTAGATGAGCAGAGATGTGAGAGAACGTTAACTGCTATATTTACACTCGCCCCCACTGAATCCACAGACCCATAAAAAGGCAGCTGTCTCTTCCAGACTGAATGCTACTAAGCTGTTGCATATTACCCCTACATTTCTGAGGCTGCTCCTGGGAAGTGCAAAGGCATTTTTTAGAGGAAACTGGAGAAGAAGGCAGCATATTTATTACTACAAGAATGAGGGGAGCCAGAGATGTCCCTACCTTGATAGAGTAGGATTTACTTGCCTTAAGATGGCCTCCTGGTAGCATGCAAACTCCCTGGCTGTGCTCCAGCTGCAAAGTTGCCCTCCATTACACTGATGATTAATTCTCTTTTTTTCCACACTTCATGCTCTTGGGATGAAGTGTGCTCGTTTCCCTTATGCCACAGAGGGCATGTAAGTAGATGTGGCTGCTCTAATATCCCCTCTATGGCCAATCAATGGCAGCCACTTGTCACATGTCAAAAGTAATTGTTTCAGGTTCTCTCAGATAGGTAAAGTTTCCCAGCATGCTTTAAATGCCATGTACTGAGAAGTCTGGTTTTAAGTATGCATCAGAATGTGAAAAAGTGTTTTATATAATTACCCTTCCTTGGCATATTTGGACTAAGCAAACCAATGAACCACCAGCCTGTGCACATAGCAGCAGAACTTCACACCACTAGGCTGGTAAGTATTAAATACTTTACTATGGAAAATGAACAATTTCAAACAAAAATGTCACTAGAGGAATAGAAACCTCTTGAAAAGGTCACTAAAACAATACTACAATACCACAGATTGAATGAACAGATCCAGTTAGATGAGCTGAGTTTCAAATATTTAATCAAATAAAAAGCTACAACATAGGGTCAGTATAAAAGCCTTCGTGATTATCACGATCATAGTTGAATTCCAATGGAGACAGAAACTAAAATATATCCAGAATATTCCCACAGCCAAACACAGCAGCAGCACTCTGTTGCACAGGACTATGTGGTGATGGCAATAATGATGTCAACAGAAGCACAGGTTGTGGAACTATGTTGTCCTGACAAGCTAAAATCCTGTAAACTGGGTTGAAGAATAAGGCTATGTGGAATGACAGCTTTGCAATCTGACCCACTAACGCCAACAGTGCTCAGATTTGGGTGTAGAGGAGAGGAGATTTTGTGAAGGACTCTTACCTCACTCTACAGGAGTCAAGGTCATTCTTTAGCCTGTGTATCTGCAAGGAATTTCCTATCTCAAAGAGAAGCTGTTTCAAGCAGCTCTAAGGTCTTGTAGGAAACATATTTTTGGTCAGTGCCACACTACAACATAAACAGAGGAACACAGGTTGCAAGAAAAGCTGGGGAGAACTTGACATCAGTAGACCTATGATCTAAACAGTCAAATTCCCCATCACTTCTAGGAGAAGGCTATGGAAAGGCAAGTCCTCTCCCATACAATGTGAAAGGCACTGTAGATCTGTGGGCTTTCCAGTCTCCACTGCAGGAAGAAACTTATTAGGAGAATGTCACTCTGATAAATCACTTTCTTCTTCTGTCCAAGCTAGGGAAGATATAAAATATAACCAAAACAACAGAGCAGAAAGAGAATTAGATTTCTTTCATTCAATTGCTAGTGGAACTAATTGTAACCAAAGCAAGGATTTATTTTTTTAAATATGACTTCTCAATCTGGTAATGCCCTTTCAGGATTTACAAAAGAAACCCATCATGCATTCTTTCAATTAATCCTTCCTAGAAGTATTAATTTCTTATAAGAATGAAGCTGGATTTGAAATGTGACAGAGATAGATGAGAAAAAGGAAGAGATTCCTCCAAAGTCCCAGGCTGTGCATGTGCACTGCAAGCTATCTTTGCTAACGTAACAGTTGCGTGCTGAAGCTTGCCCAAGCTTTAGAGGGAAAACTGTAAGAAGGTGCAAAACCAGCACAAAATAAATCTCCACAATTTTTTTTTTTTTTTTTTTTTTTTTAATAGTTCAGATCAAGTAGTTCTCTGTGTGAAAAAGGAAAAAGTTTTTGGGGTTGGGTTTTTTTCAGGTTAAGTTAAGAATGCCATTAATCTTTTGTTTCTTTACACCTAGATATGAAAAGCGCCAAAACTTCATGGCTTTGTCTTTTGCTAAGCCTTCCTCATCAGCCTATACTACTTTTATTTCCACTGCAGATGTTACTTCTTGTGGTACCCATCATTAAGACAGGCACAGAAACAGCAGTATTATTTACCTTTGTTAGTCCTAAATACAGTCTCTCTTGAATGCAAACCACAGTGGGGGATGGAGCTCAGTACTAATGTTGCATTGCAATTACTGATCCAAAGTGAACCAGGCTACAAAACCCAGGGAATTTAGGATTTTCTTGAACACCACCAGATGATGCTTTTTTTTTACTGTAGTAATTACCATGAAAAACTTCACACTAATCAGGCAATTGAGCAGCACATATTTTTCTGCATCAAGCAGTTTTAAACTTCTGTAGAAAAGACATTTGTTTAAGCACATACATGTATAGGTAGTTGGGATACACATGTTAACCTAAACCAAACAAGGCAGTGCAAGCATGCTAGCTGCATCGTAAAGCTAGAAACACATGAAGAAATTAATTCTTGGCACACCAAACTGGAACATATGATGCAGCTCCTGAAAACTTTTTAGTTGCTCTGAAAGGTGTTGCACAAGGCAAGGGAAGGTTGTGTTTGCCACCTTTCCAAAGACAAGCACTCCAACGCACAGCTCGCCATTTCACACTTTCACACACACAGCCTGCTGTCACAGCAGGATTTGCTCTGGGCTGATTTCCTGAAAGTCATGTCAGTCTAAGGCTTGTATTTTTGCAGTTCTTGTACCATTAGATTTCTCTGCACTCGTGGGAATCTGTTTCAACTGACCAGCATCAACAATACCCATGCATGGCTCTATCTTCCCCAGAAAGGTCACGGAGTGACATACTGCTTCTGCTGTAGTATCCAGCAACTGCACCTCTTAAGAGTATTTCAGCAATGAGAAAAATAACTGAAGAAAACTCAGAACAAGGCACTATGAATAATCTCATGTCTTTTAAAAGAAAGCTTGAGAGAGAGATAGATAGGAATTTATTTTGTTGATCATGAAGCAAGTAAACTGGATCTAATTCCAGGGGGAACAAATAGGGCCAACTAAGCAGCAACATAATCTCTCTTCAATACTATCATCAAATCACCTCTCAAAAGTAAGCTGAGAAGATATGGTGCATATCAGGTGTGAGACTGGAGATCAGTCAGCACACTATGCATTTATTTCTTTGATGAGATGCTAGCTTACCCACATGTAAGATGTTCAGGTCATTTGCATGGCTGTTGCTCTCAGTTAGATGCTCTTTGGTGGTATTCACGGCAACATAATTTATGAAGCATCCTATCTCAACGAAATAACCCTGTTACTGTATTCCAATGCTATTATGACTTAAAGAGAGGGAAGCGCTAACAAATGTGAAAGAAATGAACTGGTTTTAGGTCTTTACTACACAATAACACACCTGGATTCTAAGCTGGCAAATGTCTCCTTCCTTTCCCTCCTTCTCCTGTCCCTTTAGCCATGAAGTATTGTAAAAAACTCTAAAACAGGAAGGTGACTTTCAAGTACTGCATCATCCAAACCAGAAAAATGTATAATATAGTCTTCTATTATCATCTTATTTTCCAACTGAAATGATCTCTTCACCATAAACTAACATTTTCTCTATTATTCTCTAGTACTGAACCATTCACCACTGATTCAAATCTTCTTTCTCCCATTTTTAACCACCACCACTTTTAACTACATTTTTCTCCTCACACCAATCAATCCTTCTCCCCTAAACCCTCACAATACACCTTAAGTCAGATTTACCTCCAGCTGTGCCATGGCTCATATACTACAGCAGGAGACAAAGTCCCCATGAAGTCTTTCTCACACTGTTTTCATAAGAAAAGCAAGATTACCACAAAAATAATTATTTGTTTCCCAGCTGCAGCAGTAAAATCTGCAGAGCACACTGTGATGTCATGTTGAAACTGGTGGGATATCTTGTCACATATGCAGTGTTGCCACAGTGTAAGACATGGCCATCTCCTGTGTGCACACTTGTTTCTGAATATACCAAAGCCAAACACCACCTGAAGTACCATTAGAAATACCAAGATGTGGGGAGGGGGCAGATAGAGCATCACATAGAATGGATGCATTAGAGAACAACAGAAATAGAACAACAGAAATAAAATATATCTTTTAAGGAAAGGCATTTAATTATGTGCTCACATTTACATGCAATTAATATGGCCCAAACAGTCAATTTACGATATCTCAAAAGAACAAGGTAGAGGAGATTATAGGAGAACGTGGCACTTCATTGGGTTATATTTTGAAAACTTTAGGGAAAAAAAGTAAATTTGCAAAATTAGCTGCTTAAATTCTCTCTCTTTGCTTCCTGGCAGTTAAAACTGGAATGAGAATAAATACCTTCCTGCATGAGGTATGAGGATTAATTTGTTTGTGTATATAAATGAGTATTTAACTATCAACTACTATTTTATTTTTAACACCTTACTGGGACTACTGCATTCCTACCCAAATTCAGCTTTTGGCAAGAGATTAGGATTGAGTTAAAATGGGAACAGGTGCTCGGAAGATGATATGGCTGTAATAAAAACGCTAACCAAGAAGATGAAGGGTAAAATAATATAAATACGGCATTCATTTGTATCCTGTGAAATAGAGAGACACCCAAAAGAAAACGCAAAATCACGACTACGGAATATATAGGAAAATGTCTTTGCCTACTGTGATTCATTCACAGTCTGAGCAGGGCTGTCCTTTGGTCCCAGGTCATCCTGTTCTTGTACAATCTCATGATGCCTGTTGAAAAGCCAGGCATTCAATAAGCAATAGTTTCACTGCTTAATGCTGGTTGGGAAATAAAACATTTGCAAAGCCTCAAAAGCATGTGGGAGTTTAAGGCCACTATCAGTGAGATTTAAGGTCCTAAATTACATCAGGTATTTTTACAGTGTGGATTTCTGGCCTCTAAGATACCTGCAGCCATTACTAGCTCAAACTGATTTTTATTTCTAGGGATTGAGCACATTCTTTTGTCAGCCGCAGTCAAAAGGAAAGCTAAAACAATCTGTTTCAAGGCTCAAATTCATGAAAACAGACATTTTCTTAGTAAGAAGAGTTACTGACCTTGAAGCTTCAGAAGAAAATACAATATTCACCATTTTTAGGATATCTTTCCCTCAACAGTAAGATAATTGAAGATAAAAGCTTTCAAGTGTTTTTTTGAAAGCAGACTGTGCTCCAACCCCAATCCTGCAAGTTAAACCTGTTCACATCAAGATGTACTATTAATTTCATACAATAGTAAAAGCAAATAAAGCAATGATTTTTAAAAGCAAAGGTTTATTTTGGGGAAGGTGTTGCAAGATGTTTGGTGTTTATTATTACTTTGTTTATTGCCATATTCCATAATGGTTTCTTATGAAAGTAAGACATAATGTACAAAATAAAATTTAACTACGGAGATACAGGCAAGACTCTCCATGTGCAGCATGGTTCCTCAGCTGTGGGAACTCCCAGCATGGTTGACTCTCAAAAGTCAGAAATTAGACTGGGAATATCAGAAGCAACTAAAATGGTTGTCTGGACTATACAGAAGTCCCTTAAGTCTTTCACTGTGAAAAGCTTTCCTGTGGCCTGTGTAACAACTGACAGAAGGATGCGGCGATGTAATTTCTATATGCTAGATGTTTATTTTGCTGGTATTAAATGATTTTTGCATTTTAAGAAAGTTTAATACAATTATCTTTGACTTCAGTACATTTAAGGTGCATCCTTTCTAAGTATTTCTTGTCAGTAGTCACCCATGAGAGACTCAGTCTATTAAATTAGCAAGACAGTAAGAAAGGTTTTAAAATGACTGATGACAGAGGATTATCTCTTTGAAAACAAAACTGAAGAAAACAATTTTGACCTGAGACAAATTCACATATCCTTTTGATTCTAATGACTTCATCAACAAGAACATGGTTATTCAGAAGCTGAACTTGTCCCTGTATCATTGATTCTGCACACACATTTGAACAGCTCTGAGAAGCTCGATTTAACTCAATTGTCCAAGGAAGGCAATTATTCATGTGGTGAAGTGATTATGGGAGTCAAACTAGACTCATAAAAGGCTTATGGATTCCCGCCCCTGAGAGGGATCAGACAACTCTAAATACTTATCCTCTGTTGGGACGTAATTGGAACATTTTGATGAATGCATCAGTTAATGATCATTTCTGAAGCCACTGGAAGAAAATGAATTTCCCTTCCAAAAAGAAGGGTTGCACAAGGAGCCAAAGAGATTTTTAAGAGATGGACCTTGACTAATTGATGATACATGACATATTACCTGAAGTAGCAGGGGACTAAATTTAATGAAACGCAAGAGTTCCATGTGATCCTAGCTACAAACCACACCAAATTACTGCAAGTCCATGGGGTAAAAACTGATCACAAAAGCTAGGACAAACATCTTCCAGCATGGAATCCATAGCTAAACTCTTTCTGAAAGAGTCTTTTCATGACATTCCCATCCCAGCCTGCCAATAGAACAGCATCAGTGGGAAATGAAAGCTAATGCTCTGCAAGCAGAGGTCAGACGGACCCCACTCTCTCTGGCACCAAGACAGTAATCTCTGTCTGCAGGGGCAAGACTGAGCTTTTGAGACAATGACCTTTTAGAAACCCTAGCATCACCAGAAGATTCTGAAGCTCAGAACCTCGACATCCTTCCTCTCAATAAACCACCATTATCAAAAACAGGAAAAAATCCCACATACTCATTTAATAATTCAAAACCAAACCCCTCATTCCAAAGCACAGCCTTTTTTTTTTCTCGCCAAATGAAATGTCAAAGGTTATACAAAGACCCTAGGAGCCTTCACTAATGTACTTACCCAGAGAAGTATGCATTTCTTTGGTGGCAGTTTAAGCACTAAGCAAATGCTCTTGCAATCTTCCCCCCCTGCTGTGTTGGCACAGCTCCATAGTCACGGGATAATTTGGAAGGAGCAGAGGAAAGAGACAAGGTGACATGAACAAAAGGCCAGGGGATATGGAAGGGCTACGTTATAGGTTGCTGCTGAATATAAAACCACCACCCTCAACACCACAGCAAGGGAAGCTAATGTAGAGGTTATTAAATAGTCAAAATAAAGCTCTACAGGCAATGTCATGTGAATGAACACTGAATGGACACGGTATTAAAATGCCTGGAAATACACTCTGAAAGCACCGTGTCCTGTAGACAGCTTTTCAGGTCATTCAGCCTTATCCAAAGAAGTCACATAAGCAATACAGAAGGCAGCTTTCTCTAGTATATCATATTCTGTTACTTTTGGAAGTTCCCTGACCTCCAAGTGACACTGCCTAGAAACCCCAGACCTTTGCTCACTTCAAGGATCTCCATTATTTCTTCTAAATTGGGAAGGAAGAATTCACATCCTTTAAGATGTGAAATGTAAAAAAAGAAAAGCAAACAAATAGAAAAACCTCAGGCATTTACATAGATTTAATCAAAACCACGAAACTCACCTCCCAGGAAAACCCTCAGAGGGTTGGATTTATGAAGTTGAGTGCAGGTTCATCTCTGCACCCTCTCTTCTTCCACCACTCGTACTTATCTACTTCACTGCAAATAAGAATGTAACAGCTCTGAAACTGAAGACTCTGTGTCCATCATCTATCACAGCATATACCTGCACTGTGATGGAACCAAAAGCTTCAACAAGAAAGAAATTACTGTGAGCAATAGCCATCTCCCTTCACAAGACAATTTATGCAGCTCACAAACTGCTCCTCCAGTATTCATCTTCTGCATCCTCTCTTTCCTGTCCACTTTTGCCATGCTTTGGTTTAAATTTGAAAATAATCTCCTTGGATCATTCACCGTGCTTTTAATTTTTCAGCCAAGTGCTACGCACAGCTTTTGTCTGTAATAGTAACAGATTGCCCAAGGACACACACAGTGAGTCATGGAAAGAGTCAGCATTTCCTGGCTCTTAATCTGATGCTCAGACAAGGCCTCTCATGTTTCCAATTTTCGGGGGCCTGCAGGTGGAGGGAAGAGAAAAGAAGAGAAAGGAAGTAAAAAAAGATGGAGAGAAGCTTTTTTAGATAAGCAAAATAGACAAACAGAAAAAAAACGAACACAAGCTGTTTCGCTTCTCAGTTTCAGATGACTGATGTAACAGTAATTGCAAAATCTGCTGAAGAACTTAAATCTCGTTTAAAAAAAATGTAATGGATAGAACAGAGGAAAAATATTGACAGGCAGCAAAAAGACACAAAAATTTGACATTTCCTAAAGCAGAAACAACAAAACCAGTTTGCTCAACAAGCCGGGAAACAGAGGAGAAAATAATTTACATGCTTTCAGGGCAAGGGAATTTGGAAAGCTTGCTCCCAAATGGGGAGGGTAGGTAGCAGCATTAGTGGATGCCCACCCCATAACTGTAAAAAGTCTGGGCGTTGTGAATATGCAAGTAGGTGACATGAATCAACTCTCACTTGAACACACTTCAAAACCACTCTGTGTGTTACACTAGTTTATTTAACTTAGGAAGCCAGTTCCCTCAAGACCACCTATAATTAGCAAGAAATGAGGAACATTCAAGGGACAAATATAGATCATGCAGAAGTGATGTATCAGCAGCCTGAAAATAATTAATATCCATCCTAGTAATGCCACCTACTCCAAAAGGCTGTGCAACAGTTTACAAGACCCATAATGTCACAAAGGAACAGGAAAATCATTTTTCAAACCCACAAAAGTAGGCCACCCATCATATTCTGAAAAGGGATCCAAGCAAAAAAACAAATGGAATTTGAGACAAGTTGTACTCATTTATCACTGCAAAACACAGCTCACACGTAGGTTTTGGCAGCACTCTGGCTAACTGGCTGAAATGAGACCCATTTCAAAATAAAATAGATGTTAAAACAGTGGTTCCAGTAAAAGACATTAACTGCAATTACACATATATGCACACATGTATGAGATATTTAGGGACTGCTTGTCTCAGTGGGCTGGGATAATGAGATTATTTAGAGACTACTGCCTCAGGATACAGGTAACACAAGGTTCATGCATTTTGTTACTATCTGTGTTACAGCAACAGAAAAACATCTTGCTCTATTTATGAAGAATACTTGCACTCCCAACCTAACCCTCACTGTAGACATCTAGACCAATATCTAACAGATACAGTCAACCCTACATTGTGGGAATGGAGATGGTTTTGGGTCCCTACTTATTCTCATTAAATGATTAACTGCAACAACAGCCATCACTAGGAACAGCATACTATTTTAGCAGAGGATGAGAACCAAGTGAGTCAGGAGGTGGCTATTTTCAGATTCTCAATGAGACACAAGCAGTAAGTGGCACCGCATTAGGCTGTATTCCTCCACAGGCCCTACTGAAAAAGGACACAGAAAGGCCAAAAGGACACAGAAATACCCTCTTTGCTTCAGTCTTTACTGGTATGACCAGCCTGCAGGAATCCCAGATATGTAATAAGAAGATTTACCTTTGGTGAAGGAGGACCAAGTTATGGAACATTTAAAGTGGACATACGTCTGCACTGAGAAAAGTGTTGCTAACAAGTTTAGAGAGGTGATCCTTCACCTCAACTCAGCACTGGTAAGGTCACATCTGGAGTGCTGGGTCCAGATCCAGGCTCCCTGGGGCAAGAAAGATATTGACTTAATGAAGCAAGGTAAGGGCTAACAAAGGGCTAACAAGGGGCCATGAAGATGACTAAGGGACTGGAGCATCTTTCATGTTAAGATAGGCTGAGAGCTGGGACTGTTCAAGCTCAGACTGGAGAAGAGACGATCCAGGGCGATCATATCAATTTGTATAAATATCTGATGAGAGGGAGTGAAGATGAGAGCGCAAGATCCTTCCCACTAACAGCAGTAGTACGCACTAACAGGACAAGAGGCAATGAGCACAAACTAAAGAGCATGAAATTCCTTCTGAACACAAGAAGATACTTTTTTACTGTGAAGATAGTAGAACACTGGCACAGGTTGCCCAAGGAGGTGGTGGAGTCTCCATCTTCAGAGATATTTAAAATCCAACTGGACATGGTCCCAGACAACCAGTTATAGCTGACTCTGCTTTAGCAGTGGGTTGGACTAGATGATACCAAAAGATTACCTCCAACATTAATGACACTGTGACTCTGTAAATACTGTATTTCTGTTGCATGCATTTTTGAAGTGAACAAGCTCATTTACAAAGATTGGTCATTAAGGCATCCTTCAAGACAA